AAACCAAGCATAATTTTTACATTTTTTTTTTAACCCTGCTGGCATTTACTGCTAATAAAATATATATCACTTAGCTGTATGGTTTTCAAAAATATAATAATTGAGAACATTGTGGAAAAATACAAGACTAATCTGTACGGGTTTATATTACTCCCGAGAATTGATATGGATTGGCAATGGGGTGGGGAAATGGACTTCTATCCACTTTTGTGATTAGCCATGCCTAAGATTGTAAGAACAGGCATCTGGTCTTAAGTGCTCTGGGTGATCTTGAGTTTGCCTTTTAAAACATAGCTGTGTAACGAAGTGTAATTTGTAACCGAGGCATCATTCTAAAGATAGTTGGCCACAGAGTGTGAAGCCTCTGGAATGATCTTCTTCAAAATTGGGAGGACCTACTTAAGCTTTTGCATGTCTTTATAGATTTATACCCTGCCCTATGAATACTGTAGTACGTGAATGTGGAATCCTTGTTGCAGTGGGTGGTAGTTTTGACCAGGATTGGCTATTTTATACCAAACGGTTCATTTTAATTTCATTAATCATGTAGGATAGCGGATTTACACTTATATAGTGGGTATGTTTCAATTTGCCTTTTCTTCAAGGAGCCATAGCAGTGTCCATTGTTTTCTTTGCTTTCTGTCTTTCCCCTTCTCAGAATGATTGATCTGTGCCCATTGACAAGATTATGATTTATTTATTCATTCTTTAAAAGTAACAATGCTTCTTAGGTAAGGAGAGCTGATACAGTTCATCACCTAACAGTGTGTTCATGTGTCTGTCTGTCCGTCCATCTTCCATTTATCTAGTTATCATTTAATTTATTAGTAAATCACATTTGTAAGTTGTCCACTCAGAACAATTTTGAGCATAATATAAAAAAACAGTACAATAATCAAAATCATGAAAAAGGAAAGGACAAAAGATATCCAAACAGAGAGACAGCTGATACAGTAGCAGCAGAACCATCCCAACATGGTTCCACACTGTACCTTAGCTCAACGCTTAAGCTTAGATTACACTTCTTCATCGCTGCACTTCAAGGAATGTACCCATCTGTCATTCGGGAATGGTTGCATAGATATATATTTGTGCAAATGTAACATTCTGGCTAGGGGGCACTCAAACAACAAAGCACAGAACAGGAAGTCGGATCAACACATCAGCTTGCAGGATGCACACCTCCACACAACCCACAGTTGGGATTTTGGAGGTCTGTGTGTCGGTTATCTGCAACCTACGCTTATCCATTAGCCCCTTTGCAGCGTAGGCGTGCGGCGATGCCTACATACAGTTGCGGGTAACTCCAAATGAAGCTTAAGGGAAGGGATCTCATCTAAAGGGAGGCTCATCTAAAAGAGAACAGGAGTGGGCTGTTTGGATCCCTGGGAGTTTGCTGTCCAGAGGGCAGATTGAATAGCAGGAAGGCACATTTGCCTTCCATCAGATGATATCGTTTAATAGGTGGATATGAAGCCCGACAACTCTTATCAGATTGTACTGGATATGTAGACGCTATAGGTTGATACCTCAGGTACCGAGGTCCTATGCTATTAAGAGTGTCACAGATGACAACTAACAATTTGAATTGCACTTTGATGCCTACAGATAATTATTGCAGCTTACGTGGCAGAAGTATTATATGGACACATCATGATATGCCCATAATGGCTCATGTGACCACATTCTGGACCACTTGAAGTTCTTTGAGTGATAGTTAAGAGCAGCCTCATGTAGAGCATATTGACATAATCCCTAAAGCAGTAGTCTTATGTTGTCCTCTTTCTTCCTCCTGTTGTTACTTTGGAATGCTATATATAGTTGCCTAATGGTTGTTTCTAACTTAGATTTCTAGTTTTCTTTGACTAGAAGTGTGAACAGCTTCCTTAATGGATAATATTGTTTACTTCCAGCCATATATAGTAGTGTAGTAATTAACTGCTGAGAGAAAAATACTTTTGGTTGTCTCTAACTTTACAGACAGATGTTCTACAGATAAATTAATATGTCAAACCCTTATGTTGTTCTGTCACAGTTCCTTTAAATCAGTTTCTTTTATTGAACTCAATATGAAAACTTATTTTGATTGAATTGTAGTTTAAACATTAGATTTATGTGATGTCTTCCAGACAGCAAAATCTATAAAAACCAATAAACTGTGTTTTCTGTATAGATACCACTCTTTTTCTCAGTATGTACAGAGTGAGGGGAGGGAGGGAGAGGGAGAGGGAGAGGGAGAGGGGGAGAGAGAGAGAGAGAGAATCCTCGAACTTACGATCCCAACTGGGATTGGAACTTTTGTTGCTAGATGAGGTGGAAACTAAGTGAGATTTTTTTGCCATGGTTGTTAAATAAATCAACACTGTCATTACGTGAATCATGTGCTCATTAGGGGAATCTGGCTTTGCCCATTGACTTTACTTATTGGAAACTAGCTGGAAAGGTTGCAAGTGCCAAGCACATGACTCTCCAGGATGTTGCAGCTGACGTGGTTGCCAAGTGGCTGCATTTTGATCACATGACCCCAGGGACATTGCAATAAGTCATAAGTCACTTAATTTCAGTGCCATCATGTTATAATCATCATTAAATGGATGGCCGTTAGTCAAGAACTGACTCTGTGTGTGTGTGTGTGTGTGTGTGTGTGTATGTATATGTATGTGTATATGTGTGTGTGTGTGTGTGTGTATATATATATTTGTTTTCTGAGGTTCTCGCGGGTATTTGTATGTGGATCTTTGGTTGTTCGGGTTTTCTCCCGCGTAAGATTCGAAGTATCTAGGCAACATTTCGATGAAGTCTCATTCATCATCTTCAGGCTTGTGTCTTCGGCTCTGTGCTTCTCAGAGTGAAAATATATGTTTTCTGTATATATATATATATATATATATATATATATATATATATATATATACACACACACACACACACACACACACACACACACACACACACGTATACATATACATATCTCAAAAAAATAAAGGGAACACAAAAATAAGACATCCTAGATCTGAATGAATGAAATATTCTTATTAAATACTTTGTTCATTACATAGTTGAATGTGCTGACAACAAAATCACACAAAAATTATCAATGGAAATCAAATTTAGCAACCCATGGAGGTCTGGATTTGGAGTTACACTCAAAATTAAAGTGAAAAAAAAAAACACTACAGGCTGAGCCAACTCTGATGTAATGTCCTTAAAACAAGTCAAAATGAGGCTCAGTAGTGCGTGTGGCCTCCACATGCCTGTACGACCTCCCTACAATGCCTGGGCATGCTCCTGATGAGGTGTCAGATGGTCTCCTGAGGGATCTCCTCCCACACCTGGACTAAAGCATCCCCCAACTCCTGGACAGTCTGTGGTGCAACATGGCATTGGTGGATGGAGAGAGACATGATGTCCCAGATGTGTTCAATTGGATTCAGGTCTGAGGAACGGGCGGGCCAGTCTATAGCATCAATGCCTTTGTCTTGCAGGAACTGCTGACACACTCCAGCCATATGAGGTCTAGCATTGTCTTGCATTAGGAGGACCCAGGGCCAACCGCACCAGCATATGGTCTCACATGGGGTCTGAGGATCTCATCTCGGTAGTGGGGTGTGACTTGATTGGGTGGGGGCTTGGCAGTGTTCTGATTGGCTGGGGGTGTGTTCTCATTGGTTGGGGGTTTGGCTGTGTTCTGATTGGTTGGGGGGGTTGGCTGTGTTCTGACTGGCTGGGGGTGTGTTCTGTTCAGGTGGGGGCTTGGTTGTGCTCAGGTTAGTCTTAGTTGCTGGGGGATTAGAGCTGGTGAGCTGTGATCCTGTTGTTTGGCTTCGCGTTCGTGGTCGTGCCACATCTTCATGGTGGGCATCCGTTCGTTTCATGTATGGGTCAGAGGGGTTTGAAGCGGGTAGTGATGTAGCTGTGGTACGGCTTCTGGTCCGTGGTCATGTCTCATCATCTGTGTGGGTGTGAGTCTACTTTCTACGTGGAAGTGTGGTGGTAGCATCTTGTGTGGCCCTCGTAGGTGTGGGTCTGATGTCATTCTTCATGTTAGGTACTTGTTTGTTAATGAGGGCGGGTTTCCAAATGGCTGGTAGGCGGGAGATATCATCTCGTTTATTCATGCTGTGAGCATTTTTTTTATCTCTATGGCTTCTCTGATTATTCTGTTGTTGAAGTGTTCAGTTTTGGCGATAGTTCTGGTATTTTTAAAGTCAATCTCATGTCCTGTGGTTTTGAGGTGTTGGACCAGGGAAGAGGTCGGTTCTTCTTTTTTGATTGAGTTCTTGTGTTCTTCAATGCATGCACTTATTCTTCTGTTGGTTTGTCCGATGTATGTGGTGGGACAGGCGGTGCATGGGATTTCATATATTCCTTGGTTTTCTAATTCGATTCTGTCTTTAGGGTTTCTTAGGATGGTGGATGTTTTTCTGTTTGTGCAGAATGCTGTCTTAATGTTGTGTTTTTGGAGGATATTGCTGATTTTGTCTGTAGTGCCTTTTATATATGGGAGGAGGGCTTTGCCGTTCTCTTGTCCTCTGTCTTGGATTTTGGTTGGGGTTTCTTTTTGGATAAGGTGGGTATTAGGTCCACATACAAATACCCGCGAAAACTCAGAAAACAAATATATATATATTTTCTTAAGTTTTCTTAAGTTTATATATATATATATGAGAAACACTGAGACAAAGTCAGCCTAGGCAATTTCAAGCACATTGCATATATGACCAAATTATTAACTGTACCTTAAATTTTAATGAGATCTGACTTTGATTAATAGATATTCTCCTTTTGCCTTGCTTGCAGTTTTAATTAGTCTTTTTAAAATTAAACTTATTAATGAAACAAAAAGATTGAATCCCTTTAAACTGAGCTCCCTGCCTGAAATCTTGTCATGTACTTCTGCTTTTATCATGATCCTGTATGACACCTTTAAAAATGAACTAATTATCATCTAAGCATTTTTATATTAATATTGATTTGAATTTATGTATTTTATTTTTAAGACTCTCCAGCAACTTGGAAAAAGCGTAAGAGAATAAGTGTGCTGCTAATTGAAGCTTTTTATGGAGGTTCACATAAGCAGCTCATGGACCTTCTCCAAGAAGAAATAGGAGGCTGCATCCTTTTTACTCTTCCGGCAAAGAAATGGCACTGGAGGGCCAGAACTGCAGCTCTCTACTTCATGCAGAATGTACCAGCCAGTGCTGATTACAGGTAAAGAGAGCTATGAACACCTTTCTAATGCTAAATGTGGAGTTTCAGATTGAGTCATAGCACAATTCAGTAGTTTCTGAGGTCACCCAGAGACAGCATCCTGGCTAAAAGATTGACAGGCCCAGTAGTTCCGAGAATATCTTCAGTTTCAGTCTTAAAGTTGAAGAACTTTGATTGAAGAACATTTTACAGCAAGGATGTGAATAAAATGCAGAATAAAGTACAGGAACTTTTGAGCAGAGATGACTGATGACTGTGCTTTTAGGGCAGGCGTGCTGAACCGTGGCTCTTTTATGACTTGTGGACTTCAACTCCCAGAATTCCTGAGCCAACCATGGGCTTAGTATAACAAACTTGTTTTTTTGTCTAGGCAGCAGAATTTCTTATAGTCTTCAACATCTGATACCTTGGCATCAAAGAAATCATTTTTATCTGAGACATAACAAGCAGTGTAAGGTCAGGCAATATATCGAGAGAACCAAAAGGGAAGATTCCCATACGCCATTAAAACGTGTTTTATTGTTGACCCAATGCATTTTGAAGTTAACCTTTTATCAAGGGCACAGTGTTTGCACTGGTCAATTTTAATTAAAGGAAATGCCTTTCTAGAAATAGAAAGATTTTGCTATCCTGCAAAGGCTGTGAAGAGGAGACAGGGGGGAAACTCTAGATCTAGGTCCATCCAGTCCAAAAAAATGTCTCCCATGACCCTGCTAAGTATATTTCTCTTGATGTTGGCCTACCCAGATGGACCTCTCGAGATAATCTTTGTAGATGGATTGACTCATTTACTAACAATAAAGACTTAAAGACTTTTCAGCAAAAGAGCCCAAAAAGCAAAAGAAAATGTGGTGGAGTTCCTTCTAACCAACCAGATCCCATCTAACAATTCTGTTTGGAACATATCCTTAGGTCTAAAGCCAGATTAGAATGGATTTGAAGTATCTGTATCTTTAGGAAAACCTCCATTTGGGTTTTGTGTTCAAACAATTTCCCCCGGTATACTAAATATTCTCTTAATACTATGTTAGCTCAAAACAATTCAGTGTTAAGGTTAAGATAAAGCAACCTATTATCCTATTGAATAGGGAAGATACTTTTTCCTATTAGGCAGAATTAGATAGTGGTTTTCAGGCAGCAGATATTGGGGTCAAAATAGAAATAGTAGCAAAACATTTGGAGGACAAAGTTTTATCTGCCATGTTGCTTGCTTGGTTCTACCTAAAGTAATGCATTTCTCCTATGCTTGGAGTTGTCTCTGTGCCAGTGTTGAAATAAGATTCATCTATTAAGCGTGATCAGGTGCTCTATATCAGGGATCGCCAACCGGTGGGCCGCAGAGAAATTTCACCCCCAGCACCCCACCAAAGCAATTAATCCAGACTGCACAGAAACACAAGGCTGCACCACCCACATGGCCCACGGGAACCCTCCCCGCCCACTTACTCCTTACCCAGTAAACTTGCCTGCTAAATTGCTATTTTTCCTTTCTCCCATGAGCTGTGTAGAGCATCCAGTGATGGGAAGGTGCTTCAGTCCCTTCTAGGAAGGCTGGGCTTAAACTTGAGGACACTCCGCCTCCTCCACGAGACTCCTCCTTAGCGTCCCCAGTTTTAGCTCAGCCTTTCTTCAGACAGGTTGTATTATTGTTTTCCTGGTTGGACTGGCGATTTAGCTGATTTATTTCTCAGGTCAGGTAATACCATAGTTTCTGTTACCAATCACCCCCCTGGGAACTTCCAAAAGTCATTTCGTTCGGTTTTATGTTTTGTTTTGTTTTGTTTTGTTCTTACATTCCAGCCTCCCCAGGCTAAAGCCTCATAAACGAGGAGGCTTATCTTTCCAATCTGCCCTGAGGCTAAAAGCCTCTCCTTTCAGAGATGCTGCCTTAAACTTCTAAACAAGGAGGCTTATCTCTCCGATCTCCCAGCCGGCTGAGTAAACGCTCTGTCCCTTCGAGGTTTGAAGCTTCCATTTAAAAGTGCAGCCCTTTTTTCCTTATATTACAAGGCTTTCCCCGCAGAACACCTCAGGGCAGGGAATTAGCCCCTGCGCCTTTCCGCTGAGCGGTTTTGCTTTCAGCAGGCCGGGCGGTGATAACCGCTTTCGTTTTCATTCTGCCACGAGGCAGCCAGCATTTTAAAGTCTGCATGGTTATATTTGCTGAGTAATTGTTACTGTCTGTAAGGAAAGTTACCCAACAAGGTTTCCCTTTTTGGGGACCTGGGAAGGGGAGTCCCTGCCATCAGTCCACTAGATGATAGAGGACTTGAACTGCTGGATTTCACAGGCAATAAGTGCAGTTAAGCTGATCTAATTATCAGTTACAGACCTCTCTGCCCTCATATAGGTGCGGGTCTGGAGCGGGGTGTTCTGGTCTCCATATTTGATATTACAAGTACTTAAGTCAAAAATTGACTTGATTGACTTAAATTCTACAAATCTTTAAGTTATTAAAAGATAGATAGATAGATAGATAGATAGATAGATAGATAGATAGATAGA